ACTCACAGCGAAAGAATAGTTTCTGCTTTCACATATTTCTAGATATTTAAAAAAATCCTGTGGAAGTTTATACTGAAAACCAACAACTCGGTGATATACGTTTTATATATATATATGTTTTTTTTCTCTGGTGGTGGTGGTGGGGGGGTTTGTCAACTTACTCCCAGCAGGTTGCGGGGGATGTATCCCTCGTAATCCCCACATCGTGCCCACCACCACTCCTTCTCCACCTCATCCTCCCTTCTCAGGACTGTCATGCAGTCGCCCTCGGTGAAGCCCAGCTCGTCGTCACTCTGAGGCTGGTAGTCCCACAGGGCGTAGACCACCCCACGGTTCATCACTCCCATCTTCTCCTGCACACCTGGGGTGAGAGAAAATCAGCTCAAAACGCTTCAAATACGCATATTTTTTTAAATACGCAGAAGCCTGGCTGAGTAAGACCAGTTCCTAACAAACCTGATCAGCTGATCACCCTCCTTTAATTTATTATACATTGGAATAAACTGATAAACTGATCCAAGAGTTTTATCTCTACATGTAACCGATCTGTAAAGTTACTAAACAAGTTATTTTTGTTATCTGCGGTTTGTAATGGAGTTTCTCATTGTGAGGAGTTGGTATGTTGTGTTGGATTTGGTATTTGTTTTGGGGTTTTGTGCCTTTTTTAAAGTTTTCTTAGTGCATTTGTTTCTTTTTGCCTTCTGTGTTCTCTCCTGGTTTAGTTTTTTCTTTCTTCTTTCATTCACGGTCTTTTCCATTTTCAGTCTGCTTGGTCTGAGTTCGGTGGAAATTAGTTTTTTTTTTACCCCTTCTTCTGGGTTCTGGTTGTCTGTTAGCTTTTTAATAGCTCCCTGAAATCTTCTGCATTTCTTTCTTTTATTTTGTTGTCTATCTTCAGTTTCCTGTTCTCTCCTGTGTCTTTCTGCCGGCTGCACTTCTCCTCTTTAATCCTCCTCAGTACTTTTCCATACTGGTCCCACGTGCTACCTGTCCCTCTGTCCTACATTCACCAATCCCTCTTTCTGGTTCTTTCATCCATTCATTGTCAGATCCTCCTTCGTACATCCACTCTATGTCTTATCCTTGTTATATTTCTTGTTTCTTCTTACTTTCTGGGATGTTTGTTTTTGTCTCAGAAGTGCTCATCTATACATACGTAGATGCCCATTTAAAACTAAAGGAAAAGGGACAACAGTTCGTGTCTTCTTCAGCTTGGCAATCAAACATTAAGATTTAGATCTCACCATAGAGGAACTGAGAGCACTGGGCGTAGCCGTCTTCCAGCTCCTCGCATTTGTCGGCAGCTGTCTGCATGTCGCTGTACGTGGTGGCAAACACAGCTGCCCCCGACTCCACCAGGAACTTACAGACCTGAACGTTGTTGCAGGAGGCAGCGCAGTGGAGGGGGGTCCTGGAGAGGAACAGGGGTTGACAGACGCGAATCAGTGGACTGCAGGGGGAATGCTGATGGGCTGGCCTGATGCGGCCCGGACTCACCAGCCGTCGCTGTCTGCGGCGTTGACGTTGACCCCGAACTGCACCAGAAACTTGACGATCTCGGTGTGACCGGCGCAGACGGCGTTGTGCAGCGCCGTGATGCCCTCATCGTTCGGCATACTGGGGTCCTCCACCTGTGAGGCGGGTATATGTAATCCGGTACCATCAGCTGCACTGACATGCAGCAACTCACTGTGTTATCAGGCTCAAAATGTCCCAGTAAATCTCTCATATCAAGTACATCTAAGTGACAACTTTTCAATATGAAAAACGATCTCTATGAAAAAAAAATCAATAAATTATTTGTTGAGATTGAAACCGGTTAGGTAGGTACACGAAGTGGGGCGGCAGGGTGGTGTGGTGGTTAGCACCGTCCCCTCAAAGCAAGAGGTTTCTATGTTCAAGTCCCCCGGGGGAACCGGGACCTTTCCGTGTGGAATTATGTTCTCCCTGTGTCTGCGTGCGTTCTTTCCGGGTACTCCGGCATCCTCCCACCGTCCATGTTAGGTTGGACGTTCCGAATGGCCCTTAGGAGTGAATGTGAGTGGTTGTGTGTCTCTGTGTGACCCTGCAATGGACTGGCGGACTGTCCAGGGTGTACCCCGCCTCTTGGCCATTGACTACTGGGATAGTAGGCAATGCTTGTCCCCATCTGGGAATAAGTGGTTCAGAAAATGGATCGATGGGTGCACGAAGTGAGACTCACGTCGTAGATGACTCTCTGGACGAGGTCGTACTCGCCCTCCAGAGATGAATCCAGCAGCAGGGCCAGGGGGTTGAACTTGACCCTCCTAGTGCGGTCAGTCCGCTCTGAGCCTGCCTTACGAAGTATGGACCTCTTCCCCTGAGACAGAGCGGGTAGGCGACCATTAATAAAAGAGCGTCAATTCTTTTCGCTAGAATTCATGTGAAAATTGGAGTTTGAACGAAAAGCTACTCACGGGCGGCACTGGGACCTGCCCTGTGATCTCGGGTGGACGCATGTTGAGGTTTTCATCCCCCTGCTCTGCCTCCCCGGCGGTTGGGTACGGTGGGGGCGGGTATGGCGGGAACTCCTCCAAAAACTTCTCCTGGTGAGTTGAGACGGACGAAGGTTTCTCTTCCTCTTCCTTGATTTCCTGCGTGGGGGGTAAGGGGCAGCCGGTTCTGGGCTCAGAGATGGGCGAGCGCGGGGGCAGTGGGGGTGGACTCAAGGTCCGTTCGGCACTTTCAGCTGGCTGTTGGTTCAGACTGCTGACGCTGCCTTCCTCCGCGTCACCGTGTCTATCTTCAAGATCTCTGGGCTGGGCTATCTTCAAGATCCCTGCCGGACCGACGGTCTCCATGGGAATTGTTTCCATGGCTGCCAGAGTGGTCTTTTGGTAGAGCAGCTTCTGGATGTTGGGTCCGCCGGGGCCTTCGGGTTCGGTGATGGAGCTGCGTTTCTTCAGGGGTCGCGGAGCGTGATGGAGTCTGCGGCGCAGGGCCTCCAGGTCAACATCGCTGGGGTTCCGGTGAGGGTTGGACAGGAACGGGAGGAGCTTGGTCGGGCTCAGTGGGCGAGGGGTCAGCCGTTCCGTTGCGTCTCCCACAACCCCCTCGCCTGTGTTCAGAAAACCGTTGTCGGCCTCGCTGCCATCCGAGCCACAAAACCCAGAGTTCAAGCCGGTGTTGTCTGAGCTGACCGCCTGCTGGCCCCCGGTGGTTTGGAGGATTGGTTTTCCATACACTGTGGAAGTAGAGAAGGTCAGTAAAATTACCAGAAAGAGCTTGTAGGAGATAATAACACAATCACATCTACTGTACCAAAGATTCTCGTACCATCTTGAAATCTGTCGCCTATCAATAGTATGTAAAATGTGTAAAAATCTGTGGCGGTGCCTCACCTCGGGTCTGGCCGCGGGGCAGTGTGCCCTGGCCCCCCGGCTGGTAGCCCTTTCCAGGAGTGGCTTGCTGCGTGTACATGGAGTAGATCGACGAAGCCGCTAGGGTTTGAGGCTTCTGCAGCACGGGGGGAGGAGGGTCCGACAGGTCTGGGGTGTAGGGTCGCACAGCAGCTGCCGGGGGACTGTCCTGTTTGTTTGGCAGAGGGAGCGTGTTGCTGTGGCTGGAGAGAAATCCCGGAGGCCAGAGGTTCCCTCCGACTCCCTTCACCTTACCGGGGAAGGTCCCGGTACTGTAAGGGGGCTTAGATAAGGTTCGTGGGCTAGATGAGGTGAATGGGTTAGTCTTGCTAGGAAGTGGAGGGGGGGCTGACATCTTAGACAGAGCTTTGCCTGAGGCCTAAAAATGAAAGACATGACAGCACAAAGAACACATATGGAGAACATCGCTATAAAACCGGGTGTGTTTTTCCACATTTCTTGTATCGCTCTTTTGATTTAACCTTTTATAAAAATAAGTGTGCAAGTGGTGAAAGTCTGCTGGTACCTGACTATTCCTGGGTGGGATCCCAGTGATGCGACTGGATCGTGAGGGGACAGGCGGGGGGACGTCAGACTCGGGGAGGCACTTGTGATCCGTGACCGTCTCACCACCTGCAAAACACAGAGATTCTCACACCGACATCCTCTGGGAGCTACACTGCCGGGCTAAAACAATGTCACCATTTGGATTTAACCTAGCAAACTGGTATGAGCCTCCCATTGATGATTACTGCATGTGCGACAAGTCGTTTAACCCCAACAAAGGCAATGAGCAGCTCTGCGTTTCCTTCATCACCCATGAATGATTCAATGAATGAATGAAAAGAAAAGATCCATCTATCAGTCTGTTCCAGTGGCCTTTTTTAAAAGGGCAGGGGCAGAAAGGAAAAAAAGGCCACATGTGACAATCTTTGTGATTGATTGGAGAAGACTTCTTCACACAGTGGTTGGACCTTCCATCACTATTACAGGACCCTTGTGACAAATAATTGCAAAGCTGGATGGAAATAAATCTGACATTGCAGAAGTTTACTGAGACAAAGCCACGGAGAACGTGTAGAGTGATCCGGGCTGAAAGTTAAAGATGGCCCAACCATATATCACAGTGCGTGACCATTTTTTGTTTTTGGTTGTAACTTTATTTTCAGACCAGGCAGTGTATGTAGACTACCCAAAAAAAAGTGGTGGAATTTTTGCCTTTCAAAATGAGACCAACTGACCTGAGTTGCGGCAGCTGAGACTGAACATGCGCGGGAGGGTGGAGGCATGCCCGTTCCCTCCCCTGGACTCAGAGAGCGAGCTGCCCCAGTCAGAGATTTTATTTATTTTTGAGGTGCTCAAACCTGGGAAAAGCAGAAAATCCCATATATATATATATATTATTCAAGTTTAAACAGTGCCTTGGTATGCTTGAGGCTGTATAACCAACTCCTTAAATAAAGTCCTATGTTGCATGGAAAAGTAACAAATGACATACTGGAGGCGGGTTTGGGTGGTCTGGGCGGTGGCTTGAGGGATGAGTCAGGCATGGGCAAAGTGGCCGTGCCATCTGGGTACGCCGGCTTTACCAGCATCTCCTGGCGGGGTGGCACTGGAGGCCCCTGGGAGCTCGGAGCAGAGGATGACAGGATGTAGGGCCCCACTGCAGCCACTTTGGAGCCAGCGCTGTGCTGGGGGGCCATGCCCTCCGAGGAAACCTGCACCAAGAGGGCAGGTTAAAACGTCTTCCTGTCTGTTTCCTTAACTCATTGGCTGCCAAAGACGTCTATAGACGTAAATTAAAATACAACCGTTGACTGCCAAAGACGTCTATAGACATCTTTTATGTTTTTCAACGCGAGTGGCTTGGGGGACGATCTGCTAAAGCTTGTCCGTAAATATCGGCTTCTAGACAGAGTATGCACTAACAAATTGACCCTCTAGGTGGCAGTGCCAATTTTGATGGGAGATGAGCATAGATTGTAGGCAAATAAGAAAAACGTAACAGTTTGCTATGAGAGAACATGTCGCCGGAGAGACGCAAGTCGAGGAAGAACGGAATAAGGTAGAAACATTTTTTTTTCCTGATGAAAGAAGAGAGTCTACTCTTTCTTTTGGTGTGTTCGGTGTTTACATAGTCATAGCACAAACTATTCTGTGGCTCTTGAAAAATCAGTCAAAATGCTAAAAAAACTCTGGCAGTATGGGACTTTGTTCTGAAAATGGCTGGCAGTCAATGAGTTCAGAGAAACTA